GAGAGAGAGAGAGAGAGAGAGAGAGAGAGAGAGAGAGAGTGTTGCACAGGATATTCAGAAAAATCCAAACATTTATAATGCAGTCCTGGTGCTAGATTTTGGTATTTTTAATCCAAGATGAAGTCTGTTTGGTCTAGTGGTAAGGTGCTGAACTAGGAACAAGGAAATCTGGGTTCTAATGCTGCCTTAGACACAGAAGCCAACTGGGTGACTTTGGGCCAGTCATTGTCTCGCAGTCCTAGGAAGAGTACAATGCAAAACCACTTCTGAAAAATGTTCCCTAATAAATTGAATGGACTTGTCTGTGTAGACCCAGGCGTTACATCTGACTCAAAGAAAAGCATCAGTCCTAAAATCCTAAAAGCATCAGCATATTGCATGTTCACAACACTATGAAAACTGCAGCATAAAAGCATGCATAATATTTTTGTCCAGCTGAGAAAATGCATCCATTTCAACTCTATTTCAACAAAAGAATACATTTCAACTCTAAGTCTGGAATGGGTTTACTAGGTTGCTTAAATCTTACATTAATTCTGTAAAATAGCATGTAAATGTTGCATACATTGGGGTTAAATATGTGCTATGTGTCTCATCCATTGAAATGAACAGGATTTATAATAAAATAAAAATGCACATTGAATAAAAACAATTTTAAAAGCTGGAACAGCAAGATATTGAACTTACTGAAAATAGTACAGGCATAAAGAACCACTTGTTCCCAATCGCTCAGTGTCACTTCTGATTTTTCCAGGAGATAATAATTGAACTGATTTAATGCTGATCTAATGCATGACTCCAAAGGTTTAATATATGCTGATCTCTGCAGTATAAATAAATTTTCATACAGTTATATGACTGAAAGCTAAATAAATAAATAAATAAATAAATAAATAAATAAATAAATAAATAAATAAATAAATAAATAAATAAATAAATAAATAAATAAATAAATAAATAAATAAATAAATAAATAAATAAATAAATAAATAAATAAATAAATAAATAAATAAATAAATAAATAAATAAATAAATAAATGTATGTTACACTTTACACTATTTACTATTTTAAAAATGTATTTATATGATTTGCAGAATTTAATGAGGTTTTGGGAGTTATTTAATGGACAAGAAGTGTGAGTAAACATATTTTCTTACATTTTACAATATCTATTGGGTTGTCTGTTAGTTACATTGCAGCTCCTTACAATTCAATAATTCTTAAAGAAAAAGGAGCGAACTTGCAACTTTGTTTTTGTCTTCCTTCCTTCCTTCCTTCCTTCCTTCCTTCCTTCCTTCCTTCCTTCCTTCCTTCCTTTTTCCGACAGTAGTGATGCTCCTGACATTACAAAAGGAAGAGTCTGCACTTTACAAGTTCTTAGAGAATTTCACCTTCCCCTAGAGAAATTTCAGGAACTTTTCTATTTGGTTTTTATTGTACATATTTGGTGAAATTCAGCAGAACATTTGTACCTAGCTCTAGTTTTCTCTTTGGAAACTCTGCTCCTCTTTGAAAAAGGAAACTCTTTTCATTCTTTTGTCATCCATATTCCTACAAACTTTGCAGCTTAGAGATAGTGCCTCAATGCATTCATTTCACAATTTGAGTAACCAAATAATTAAACTGCTAAATGAACCTTCCTCTGGAGTGTCCACTCTTGAAACCAACATCTCTTTCATTACTGGAAAAAAAAATGAAAGGAAGGTAAGGGTCTGATACCTTCTACTTGCTCAAACAGGCTTTCATTCTGTGTTTGTGTGCATTTCTGGGGCGCCTTCTTAAACACTCCTCTCCCCACCCCATTGGCTGTGATGGTTAGTGTGGCATGAATGGTGGGGTTTGAAATGTGAGGCTTAATTTATTACAAAGCAATCAGCAAACCCACTGAAAAACAGAAAAGTCTTCTCCCTAAGTATATAGTTATGTTTTTTCCCCTCCCCAGTGCAGACTGCCAGTGAGAATTGAATGTTGCCAAATCAACATTTCTCTCTTTGAAACAGCATGGGGGTTAGATACAGAACTGGCAAAGTAAAAGACAAAAGAAAAAAAAAAAAGAACATAGAAAAAATCATAAACTCTCTATCTACAAAATACGTATCAGAATTTATCAAATATCCCTAATGCTAGAATGGTTTGTTGTTTTTGATTTCTTCAAACATATCATTTATATATTGATTAGTGAGATCCTTTCTTTTTCCTATTCTATGATTCCTTTTGAATTCTGAAATTGCTATTTTTTTTCTGAAAATATCCTAATGTGCCTAATTTTTGTCTCCAATCCACTGAAGGGTGGGATCTATTTATTTATTTTGGCTGATATACTTTTCAAATTCCTTCAATATATCCAACACAGTGAAAGGCTCAGATATCCTTCAGAATGTCTAAGTAACCTCTAATCTTACATTTGCAGTCATCACCAGAGTTAATTGCTTTATATTTGCTTTTTAACTTTTTTGTGGTTAATGTATGGAGATGAAATTTACTTTTTTTCCCCCACAAAGTTATTTTGATTGTGATGTATAATCCTGCCAGCAAGATATCCAGGTTGCCAAGTATTATGGAAATGTTGCTTTGATAATGGTTAAATCTTTAGGAATTGTGTGAAGAATATCGTGTAGCAATAGTTTACAGGGGAAAAGGGGGGGACACACAATTTCTGTTAGCTTTGACAACCACTTTGAGTTTTGTGCCACAAGGTGAGGTGCAACCACAACAATTAAAGAAAGAGTGTGTGGAAGGGTGGGATTGTATCATTTATTTATATTTACTTTATTTTCTTTGTAATTTTATTTTACTATTCCTCCCTCCCCATAATAAACCAGAGTTATTAATTTTTTGTTGTTGTTAATACTAGGTGCTATGACAGAAACTCCTTTTCCAATATATTAGCTTCTTCTCAGAAGAAAAACAAAAAGAAACAAAACAATAGCAGCAACAAAAACAAGAATACCAAAAACACATGGAAGATCAAAGTCACGTATAAATATGTAGCTATATAGATATGTATGCATTTGGGGTGACTTCAGTGGATAAATCAGTCACTTTCTTTCTTTTCACTTAAAAGGTCAAAAAAGTAAAAATCCAGCCCAATTTTTGGAAGTCAGAAATGGTTTATGGGATATAACAGGAACCATAATTCCCTATGTAGCTTTACATCCCTCCTCCCCACAACTTCAAAATTTCAAAATGAGGGTCAAAAGAGTCACTTTGAGGGAGCTCCTGTTCATAAATGAGATCCAACCTTAGGGTGCACCTGATCCAGATGTCACACTTTGGGCACTATGGATATAAGACAAAATTCTGGGTATTTAATATTCAGTGTTCAGTGTAATTCATTGGACTTTGGAGCCTAATATCCTAGCTGGTACCAGCAAAAAAATGAAGATGCCATGGAAGGTACAACACTAGCTTGCTTGCCATGTTCCCCAATTCTGTTGCAACCAGTGTTAGGTTAAGCAGAATGCCTAAGGGAAGGGAGGCTACAGAGATGACAGGCTATACCAAACTGGCAGAAAAAAAATTCAACTCATATTAAACAGGATTTGTGAAATCATATACACACACTCACTCACACACATATAGATTTATATATATGCAAAACCTACTTTTAAATTCCACTCTAATCAGTAAGAATTAATCTGGAATTCTTTTGTTTGTCTTCTTCTTGTTCTTGGAAGCATAATAAAGGGACCATGAGATGTGTGGGGTTATTTTTTTGGGGGGGGGGAGGGTGATTCAAGGATTGAGAATGTTGGAGAAAGAGATTCAAAGTAAAAAGGGAACATTCAGAAATAAAATTATCTCTTCCAGTACCTTCCAGTGTTAGTTATTTCAAAATATGCAATCTACAGAATATGCAATCTGCAGTTCCTTTTTCAAACTGTGAATAAAACTCATGTTATTAATGTCTGGTGAGAATAGTGACATCTATACCTGGCTGTTGGTCAGAAATAATAATTTAGCTAATCACAATACAAAATGAGAGTTCATCCTTTCAGTCTGAACACGTAGGCTATAGTTTCTTCTTTAGACAGTGAATAATGTTTAACAGGTTTACATATTTCTTTATGTAATTTTTAAACATCACATTAAATATGTTTTTTATTATTATTATTATTAGGATAAACAACAATTACAAGGCATTATTTCTACAGTAATTGTTCCTAAGACAAGATCTTTCATATTTAAGTGACTTATTCATTCCTCTTCATTACAGGAATTTCCTAAAAGAAAGAGAATTTCATAACTCTTGGAAATCGCATGGTACAAAGCACACAGCTACTTCAGATTTTACAATACATGTTTTTGCCAATAAGTCAATCCAAAGGTTTTCTTTCCCAGAGTCTCATAAAGGCGCCTTTCACTTCTTTGTTCCTCAAGCTATATATGACAGGGTTTAAAGCAGGGCTAATGATTGTGTGAAAAAGGGAGAGGTATTTGTCTGTATTTGAAGGATATGTGGAATTGGGCTTCATATACTTAATGCAAGCAGAACCGAAGAATAAGGTCACAACAATGAGATGTGAGGAGCAAGTGGAGAAAGTCTTTTTCCGGCCCTCAGAGGAGGAGATCTTTGAAATGACAACAATTATTCCAGAGTAAGACATTAAGATCAGAAGAAAAGGGAAAGTAGCAAAAATCACTACAACTACAAAATCAGTGATTTCAATCCTAAAGGTGTTCCCACAAGCCAATTTCAGTAAAGGGGGAATGTCACAAAAGAAGTGATTGATAACATTAGAATTACAGAAGGACAGTGTGAAAATCATACTGGTGTGACCAAAGGACATCAATAACCCGCTTAGCCAAGAGGCTACCGCTAGGCCTGTATAAACTTTTTGCCCCATCAAGACAGAATAGTGCAGAGGCTTACAAATGGCAACATAGCGGTCATAAGCCATCGAGGCTAAAAGAAAACATTCAGTTGCACCCAAAAACAATGCAAAATAAGTCTGCAGAGCACAGCCCAGAAAGGAGATGGATTTATTCCCTGAGCAGAAATTGTCAAGCATCTTGGGGACAATGACTGATGTGAAACATATCTCAAGGAAGGATAGATTCCTTAGAAAGAAATACATGGGTGTGTGTAGGGTTTGGTCAACCAATGTAAGAAGAATGATTAGAACATTTCCAGTTAAAGCATTGATATAGATTCCCAGAAAAATAGAGAAAAATATGCTTTGTAAATGATACTCTTCAGAGAGACCCACGAGGATGAATTTGGTTGGTGTAGTGCTGTTTTGTAGAGGATTTTCTTTCTTTATATGCATCCTGGAAAAGAAAAGGATCCATACATTAATTTAATAAATTTCAATTCAGTGATCCAGCTATGTGTGAAATCATACCCAGGCTTAATAATGTTAAACCTTAGGACATAGGATAAATCTAGGATGTATCAAGGCAATTTGGCCAATTTCTGCTTATCAGACTGCAGATGAACTTGTTCTATCTGCAAGTAAAAAATGACTGTTATGACCATTCCTGTTTGCCCTAATAAGAGTGTCTCATATGTTGAAATAGTCATTAATCACCCCAATCTAACAATCTGAGAAGAGTTGGGGAGTTGGGGTACATAAAGAGACAGTCATTTGCCCTTCTCTAAAATGTTATCTTTGACACCAAGCCTTTTGTTGAAAAAAATGGTAACCAATGCATTAATCTCATACTATTAACTACACTCAATCCCTGGCAACTCTTCTATTTTACAGTGAGGAAACTCCTTTGTAATTTTTCTATATTTCCTTCCCTGAGAATAATAATATCCCAACCTATTTGTGGCTCACTTTCAGTTTATACTCTTTATGTTAGGAACCCTTTCTTTGGAAAATTGCAAAATATTCTATTTCAGAACAATCTTTTTTAACAACAATCACAGCAGCAACAAAAATATGCAGTGCCTTCAGAACTAGAAGATTTAAGGATGTTTAAACAAATAGGCTAGAATCTGTGAGATTGTGAGTTCTAGTCCTGCCTAGGCACAAAGCCAACTGGGTGATCTTGGGCCAGTCACTTTCTCTCAGCCCTAGGAAGGAGGCAATGGCAAACCACTTCTGAAAAAACTTGCCAATAAAACTGCAGGGACTTGTCCTGGCAGTCTCTGAGAACTGGACACAATCGAACGGATGGAAAGACAGACAAACAGAATAAACCTATTACAGCTATTTCCAGGATTCAGCAAAAAGTATAAAGAGAAATGGAAGTATTAATTATAAATTATACCACAAGTTATTTGATCTGCAGGTTAAGTCTCAAAGCACTGCATAGCCAATGTATATTTCTCCCATTTGCCCATACCGTCTTCAGATCTCATATATTTTCAGTCTGTTGTCATCCATATTCCTACAAACTCTGCAGCTTAGAGATGGTGCCTCAATGCCAAACAATTTCTCAGTTTCACAGTTTGAGTAACCAAATAATTGAATGCAAGGTCATTAAACTACTAACTTAACCTTCCTTTGAAGTGTCCACTCTTAAAACTAACATCTCTTTCATTATTTAAAAAAATAAATAAATAAAGGAAGGTAAGGGTCTGATACCTTCTACTTTAACAAGCAGACTTTCATTCTGTGTTTGTGTGAGTTCCTGGGGTGCCTTCTTAAACACACCTCCACCCCATTGGCTATGATGGTTGGTGTGGCATGAAAGGTAGAGTTGGAAAATGTGAGACATAATTTATTATGAAGCAATCAGCAAACCCATTGAAAAGCAGAAATATCTTCTCCTTAAGTAGATAGTTGTGGGGCTTTTTTCGTCCCCAGTGCAGACTCCCAGTGAGAATTTAACATTGCCAAAGCAAAAATTCTCTTTTCAAAACAGAGCATGGGGTTTAGATACAGAACTGGCAGAGTAAAAGACAAAAAAAAGAATGTAGAATAAATCATGAAGTCTCTATCTACAAAATATGTATCAGAATTTATCAAATATCCCTGTTGCTAGAATGGCTTGTTGTTTTGGACTTGAAAGAAAAATGATATGTTGGCTTTTATATTGATTGGTGAGGTCCAGGTTTCCACACACCCCCACTCTATGGTTCCTTTCAAATACTGAAATTATTATTATTATTATTTTTAAAATATCCTAATGTACCTAATTTTTGTCTCCAACCCATTGAGCAGTGGGATTTATTTATTTATTTTGGCTGATATATTTTTTAATAGCAGTCCCACAACAACAACACCAGCAACTTGTAGTGCCTTAAGAACTAGATGTTTTAAGGATTTTTAAACAAAATAAACCCATTGCAGCTATTTCCAGGTTTCAGCAAAAGAAGCATCAGCTATGGGAAATTCCACTGAAGATTATTTTGGTATCTAATGTCATGTTTCTACTGTTTAAATTATGTTTCATTCAACAGAAGAATCATTTGTTTTGGACATGTACATATGTTTTTAGGAAGAAATTTGTGGGTTCAGCTATTTTTTGAAGATTGGTGCTCAAAATACACCACTTTTTACCCATTTGGACATGAGTCTTACAGGATTCTTTTTGATATATTTAATGTATAATGTATTCTGTTACCACGTATTTTTATGGATGCTTGTTTTCCTTTCTATATCAACTATTTGGTAACTAATAGGAAGAGAAAAGAAAAAAAAAATACTGTGTGGAAGGATTATCTTTCTTTATCAAGTAAGAGTTCATCTACTTTTATTATTTGAAAAAAAAAATTTTTTTTTCTACCAGTTATCCTATTTTTTTCCCTTTTGTTAAGCAAAATGGCATAAAGACCAATAATTAATCAACATTAGTGTAACTAAAAAATGCAACATATTTGTCATGAAATTTGGTATGATTCATTCAATTGGAATGGTCATATTTACACATTCCATTCTAATCTGATTATTACGAAAGGAATAAACATTTAGGGTTCTCCTATCCTAGATAAAGGAAGAGTAAATGTGGTTTTTTTGAATATGCAGAATGTTGTAGAGGTTAGGGGAGGTTACAAGAGACCAAATTCACTGTTCATTTTCTGGCACAGGAACTAATTGGGTGTCTCTTTCCATCAATAATGCAGCCACAACTTTTTTCTGACTTGTGTTGCCATTTATACTGGGAGTTAAAAGAAATTCTGGAAAGAGACATTCACACACCACTTACATATAATGACAAGAAAATGGTTGTGTCTTATGGTGGCCAGGATGTAACTTGCATAGATTCATAGCATTTTATAAGTATAACAGGAGCTTGGTAGAACTCATTATCAGAAAAGCCAGATCATACACTATCCAGAAATTTCCTTTAAAATATCAGCCATTTTTCAGCACAATTGTCTTGGACATGGAACAATATTTGTGGTTTTAGGACAATCAGGGAGGCCTTTTAGATGTGTTGCAAAAATGAGTGATTTAGCAGTGAGTCAAACCAGTCATATGCCCCTTTCCCATTTTTTTTTTTTTTTCGTAATGCTTGGGGCCTTAGAACAAATACACAGTTGTGATAGGTAGTTTAGTAATGATTAGCATTACTGGAAAGGACCAACAAAGACGTTGAAGCACAGGAAGCCTCAAGACCCAACCCAGATCAAGGAATCAAGAGCTGACTTTCTGTCTAAATCATCACATGAAAACATGTGATCAGTTTACACCAAAATAATACATGTATCTTGCTATCCCATAGAGATTAAGCATCCAGTAAGAAGGCTAGCTATGTACAGAATTATAATCTGCATCAAAAACCTAGGTCAAAAATAAACACTAAAGTTCAGGCTAATATTTTTCCACTTTTTGGAAAGTAAGAGTTGAGTATCTTGCTTGTCGGTAAGTACTTTGGCACCTCCAACTTGCTATACCAAATTTGATGCCAGCAAGCAACCATTCACCATTACTTGAAAATAGTATATTACGAAAGTCAGAGAAATGTATATTGTATGCATTTCCTGCAAATAAAGAAGGGTTTCAACTGAAATCTATTTTTTTTTTAAAGTGGATGTTTGCTACGAAGGCTTTCTTTTTCTTCTCTTGTATTGTTCCTAGAATTCCTTGTTCCTTGATCTGCATTTTGCCCATTTGGAATTCTGACATAAGTTGGAGAATTCTCGATTTGGAACAAGAGCACTGTACCTCATCTTACTAGAGGGTATTGCTGTACATCAGTAAAAATAAAGCAAACAAAGCAAATCCTCTGTTTAAAGTGATTATACATGTCTGTTTACATCACCAGCATTGTTATATGGTGCACATACACACTGCCTTCCTATAAGTAAAACACCATGGAAACAAGACTCTTGAAAAAAGATGGAAGAAAATACAACTTGCTGTGGGAGAAATGTGTTTGATTTGCATTTTAATCATATTTAATCTAAATCATAGTCCCTGACGTGATTTCAAGGATCACTTACATTTTCACTCTTTCTTGAAAATTGAGGTAAAGCTCTTCACCCAAAAAAAGCATGGACATTAGATGAAACTTCCCCCCCACCCATATTCATAGAATGTTTGCAAATCATTCTCACAATATATTTACTAAAGCATGCATTACAGAGCCATTTTTGTGTAGTGGTTAATGGACTGGGCTAGATATTGGTAGACCATGAGTTCTAGTACTCCTTAGTCATGGAAATTAACTGGGTGATTTTGGGTCAATCACTCTCTCACAACCCACCTCATGTCACTGTTGATGAGGAGGAAGTATTATGCATGCCACCTTGTGTTGTACAAAATAGAGGCATAATCTAAATCTAATAAAAATAAATAATTCTGACTTCATATAAAATGGATTCATGTATTTGTACTCCAGTATGAGTACAAATGAATATACCAAAACTTGATGCAGAAATGTATATATCAGGCATATTATTTATAAAGGCAAAGTATACTCTATACTGGGATTGCAAATCTGAGTTGCAAGTTCTACTTTGATTTTTAGTAGAATTGTCTGCTCAACCAATCAAAGCAAGGCATTACCTAGATACATTTTGATCTTGGAAATTGTTGTGGATAGTAGCACCATATAAAGCCCATGAATCTCTTGTCCTAAAATTCACTCCTGGTTCTCCCAAGCCTTTTTGATATAGAATTAAGTGTGCAAGAAAGTAACTTTTTGCTGTTTTTTAAATACTTTGGAGTAAAAAATATTTGTAATCAAACCATGTAGGTATCCATCGATAACTTAATATGTGGATCTAAGATTAGGAGTGGGGAATTTGTGGCCTCCCAGATGATGTTGCATTAAAGTAAGTGTTTGCTATAATAAATTTGATTTTTCAACTGGATAAAGAATCTTTATTGTTTTGGGGTTTTTTTTGATGTAACAAACTAACCTTTAAGGA